AGGTACTTCATACTGCAGTCCAAGACTGCATGAGCTGTCTGTGTTTTTCTGTCCCTGGCATGTAGAGTAAGATGCAGAAAAGGTACTTCATACTGAGTGTTTGTGGACAAGATGACCCTGCCACAGTCTCCCCGAGACAGTGGAATTCCATGTTGTGCTCACTCACATATAGGTCTCTGTTGTCCATGTGAGGACACTTCAGAGAGGGTTTGGGCAGCCACAGCACTCAGGGGAAAGCCCAGAGCTGCTCAGCAGGACTTGTCACTGTACACCTCTTCTGGCTTCATCCCAGCAAACTCACTAAGCCTCTGCCATGTTTATACCCAGTGAGACAGCCCCGCCTCTTTGGGTACCACACAGGGCATACAGACACCTGCCCTCAACTGGAGATAAGTTTCATTTCTCTTGCATGTTGGCTGGAAACAGTATCTTGCCTGGGGATATCAGCGGGCTTCCTTTGCATTCTGTAGAAGATGATATGGATCCTAGAGTTGGGACCTGATGGTGAAACAATACAGAGAACACTTACAGGTCACTGATGAGCCAGGCACCAGGCTAAGTGTCCTGCACACTGTCCCATGGCCACTGCTGTGAATCGTAAGAGGACAGTACTACTATGTGTGTGTGTCCAAGGAAAGAAAGGGTGGCCTGGCTGTGAGACCTGTATTCGTAGACAGTTACGAAAGACCCAGGAGAAGGCATTGGCATTCATTTGGCAGTGCTCATGTAGGAAACGGGGAAAAGCTATCTCTGCTTGGGCTCCCCAGTGTTCTGGTTAGACTGGAGGAGGGGACACAGGCTACAGGCAGCCCTGGAAAGGCAAGAGTGTCCCCTGACACATTGTTTCCTCTGTGCCCCTCACCTGATGCTGCTGTGGCATGGTCAGGGGCAGAGGCACACTGCAAGGTTCTGACTGAGAGCCAGTGCCACTGAAGCCCTGAAGCCAACACTTGGAGAACTTGAAGCGTATTGGCCGTAAGCATATCGATCCTTTCCCAGTGTCTTAGTCAGGGTTTCTATGGCCATGATAAAACACCACGGCCATAACAACTTAGGAGAGAACAGTTTGTTTCAGCTTATACTTCCACATCATAGTCTATCATCAAAGGGAGCGAGGGCAGGAGCTCCAAGCAGGAGCCCGGAGGCAGGAGCTGATGCAGAGGCCACAGAGGAGTAGCTTATAGGCTTGTTCCCCAGGACTTGCTCAGCATGCTTTCTTATAGAGTCAGGACCACCAGCCCCGGGGTGACGTCACCCACAGTGGGGTGGGCCTCCTGCATCCACATCAATGATCAGTAAGACAGTGCCCCACAGACTTGTCCACAGCCAGGCTGGTGGAGGCATCTTCTCAATTGTAGTTCCCTCTTCCAAAACAGCTGTAGCTGGTGTCAAGTTGACATAAAACTCGCCAGCACACACATGTTCCAGGAGTGACTCTAGCCTCTCGTCCCTCCCAGGACTCAACTGTAGGTCATCAGTGAGGTGTCCTCCAATTCTTCCTTAGTGCTCATTATTGAAAACAGGTCTGTCAAGGGCTTGCCCTGGGCCAGGGGCTCTGGCTCCTTTCCATGACCCCATAGCACCTGCGTGGGTGCTGCTGGTCTCTCACACACTTGACAGATGAGAACAGTGAGGAGTGGAGGGTGCATCTCCTCAGGAGCTACACCGATCCCAGTAGCATCTTATTTTACTGCTATAAGAGGAGAGACAGGCTGTGGACTTGTAGGGAACAAGAGCATCCACCAGAAAACAAGATGAACATTGATGGAGGGGCCGGTGCTATTCCAAGGATGGAGGGAGGGTGGGGGAGTGAACATTACCAAGGGCAGTCCTGTGACCAGCATTTTGGAAGATGGGCAGTTTCTGGTGTTTCTAATACCCCCACTTCACCCCCTAAGGTACAAAAGCAGATTGAGGATAAAGTTCAGGGAATGAGGACGCCCATAGAAACAGAAGCTAGGTGCCAGAGAGAGGTAGTCTATGTGCCCATAAGCCCCCAGAGGGAGTCAGGGAATTGTGATTCCCAGAATCATAGGCTCCCTCCACCTGAATGCACCATGTCCGTAAGCTCCATAGGGGTAGGCAGTCACTAAAATGCAGGCTGCAGGTTAGGCCAGGGAGAGGCTGCCGCTGCTGGGCAGTTGGGAGGAAGAGTCATCTTGTCTCCTCTGGAGAGAGAACGCCCTGACCAAGCTGAAGCTCCCCTCCTCTGGGCTCGCACAGCCTCCATTACAGCCTGCGGGCCTCACAGGCGGGAGGCCTCTCCCTTCTGTTTTCTGCTTCTTCTTCCGAGTGAGGATGCAGCGGCAGGAGTCGTTTGCACAGGAGCCTGTGTACGCCAAAGGAAGGTTGTCTCACAGAAGCTGCACTTGACTGGAGGACTCAGACGAGGGTTTCCTCAGCCGTGACCTGGAGGCTCTTCTCTTTAATAATATCAGTGTGTGAAAACCCACAATACCTTCACAAGTGGTTGCCTTGTCTTTGATTTTTTTGTCCCAGGTGTCGTGGGTGAAGCAATATGGCAGGGGGGCTCAGGAGGTCCTGCAAGGGCCTGGAGCCTTCCACAGTGGAAGAGGGGCACTGTTAGAATTATTGGGGTTAGTGATCCCTGGGCCCTTCAGAAATTCTTCCTTCAAGTGTGAGCTGAGGTCTCCCATGGGAGGCTGCACTTCTAGAGTCTCCCAAGGTTTCCATGCACTCACTGCTCAAGACCCATCGCTCCCAGCAGTCTGCATTCCTGATGCTGGTCTGGAAACTAGGCAGCTCACCCTCACTTCTTGCTCACTGCCCCTTGGAGACGCAGGAGGCCTGGGTAATTCCGGTTCCTTTAGCAACCCTTTCTCCTGCCTCTTAGAAAAGCCAACAAAAGATAAAAGTTGCTGCCCTTTGATGGTGGCACTAATAAAGTGAAGGGAATTCAGGGCTCAGCATCCTGGTAGCCATGTTCAAACCTGCAAACACCTCCCTCCCGTACCTGCTGGGAAGCAGGAAAATACTTCCTCAGCAGCAGTATGTTTGAGCAGGCCCCTCTTCCATGGACTCCTCTTCTCTTCCAGGTCTACCTCGATCTCGGAGTCAGACTTGCCTGCCAGAGCTGCTGCGGTTCCTAGGACAGAACGTCCATGCACGCAAGAATAAGAATGTGGACATCCTCTGGCAAGCTGCTGAGGTACTCATCGTGGTTAGAAGAGTTATGATGCTCCTTCCGTGGCAGCAAATGCCTGGCCTGCTGCTTGCTAGGCCACTCCCAGTTACTGGTAGATCCTGCTTTTGGTGTCTGTGTGGTGGCCCTTTTCTTGATGAGCTTTACATTATGAGTTGCTTATGTCTGTGGCTGCTGATCTGCTGGTGGAATGGAGCTTTAGAGAGCAGACCTTCTCCTCTGCATTCTACAACAGCCCAGCTGTAAGACCTCCTCCCTGGGGGGATGTGTGATGGGTTCACTGTGGATCTTTGTCTGACTAGGCCACTCTTTAAGCTTGTAATTACAGTGAGACGTATTTTGAAACACCAAGCGACAAAAGTCTTAGCAAGATTCAGAGACTGTGTTTTCTCTTAGTTTGAGGTCTAGTTTGGCATTGTCAGGCTGGGTCCAGCAAATGGGATGGAAACACAGAAGGAGAACATGCCTTTTGGGGGGTCTGTGCAGCATGGTGGGTTATGCCTCTTGCTTTTAGTTTAAGAGAACTGCTGTAAAGTGGCAGCCGTTTCATAGGTGCCATTGTGAATTTCTGAGAGCCAGTCTGCGGGTGACACTGACAGACCCTGAACAGTGGAGTAGGGCCTTTCCTCACTGGTCCATTCTTGCACTACACAGTGGAAGCTTTGCAGATGCCCACACCCATACACGCCTTGTTTAGAGACCGTGGCTCTGTCTGTTGCAGCCACAGAAGGAGCATGAGTTAGATGTGGGGCAGCTGGCCCTCCCTGTCAAGTCAGAAAGCAGGACTTCCAGCCCCAGAGTTCTTGTCCCCAGTAGAGTCCCAGCCGTAGAGGTATATATTCAGGGGTGCAGTTTTCAAGCACCTTTGTATATCCCGTTTCATGTTGCCCGTACGGTCATCTGTGGGAACAATGGGGATGGGGCAGCAGAGCCATGCCGCTTAGACATTGCGTCCCCCAGAGCTGTTCTTTTTCTGGATCTTCATTTCTGTATATGAACAGAGTCCCAGCTAGTCTGCAGAAAACCTTCAGTCAGGTCTAGCTGATCATTTCACAGGTGAGGAGGCCAAGCCAGAGCCCCAGAGCTGGCTGTAGTGCGGCAGGGTTGGGAACCTGTCACTATGGATCTCTTCTAGTGCCAGGGGCTGCTGTGTTTAGGAGCCGTAAACCTAAGCCGTATCTAGAAACGAAAGGCCACGCCCGCACTGTTCTTGCTGTGGGAGAGGTTTTGTACTAGCAGGTCCAGGGACAAGGGGACCCTGTGAGTGGCCATGTTTCCCCTGGCTGGGTTCTCCTCTGTGTCCTCATTCCTTGGCTGGATGTGCTGAGAAGGCCCAATCATGGCTTATAAGAGTTAGTGCGAAACAGTGATGCCCAAAAGTCTCTAGAACACACAATGTTCTAGAAGTCCCTTGAGAGAACACACAAGGGACAAGTTCTCCGGGGAATGGTGGTCTGGGGCAGAGATGATCAGGCTCCTCAGGTGGCGGGGCCCTCTCAGAACTTGTTTGGAGTTACCTTGGGTTCTGATACCAACTCAGCAAGACAGCGATGGGGAGCCAGGCAGTCAGGCTAGGACTGGGCTTGGAGTTACTGCTGGTGCTCCTGCCAGACCTGTGGGGCGCCCCCTCCCCTCGAGGGTGCTGCCTTTCTGCTGGCTCTTCTCTCCTAAGAAGAGCCCATTTCCTGTTGGCAGGTCTGCCGCCGCCTTAATGGGGTCCGATTCACCAGCTGCAAGAGTGCCAAGGACCGCACAGCCATGTCGGTGACGCTGGAGCAGTGCCTGATCCTGCAGCATGAACACGGCATGGCCCCGCAGGTCTTCACACAAGCCCTGGAGTGCATGCGCAGGTGAGTGAGGGCTCCTGTCGGGCTGCACCTGCCCAGCCACCTGCTTCCCTTTGCTGTGTAAACTGCAGATGAGCCCACCCCCCTGCACACTTGAGTTTGACCACTACTCAAACGACTGGCCCTGGCAAACTCAGGTAGTAGTCTCGTAGAAGGCCAAGAGGACAAGCCAGCACTCATTTTGAGCAGAGCTGCCCTGGCCCCTTAGAGTGGTGGGCAGACTGGGGACAGACAGTTCAGCGAGGACGGGGAGCCACCTGACCGTGGTTTGGGGCCCATGCTTTCTCAGCAGGCAGCTGCTCTTACATAGTGTATATGTGTGCGGTGTAGACTTCCAAACTCCAGTGAAGGAACCGAGTCTGCAGGTTGCACTGGTTTGCTCTGCTGCCTCTCTAGTAGTGGACAGAGTTTGCTCTCGTGAATGTCTGATGGTGACAGCTGTCTGTGTGCCCTGGCCACCTCCCCCTAATGATGTCCTGGTTCTGAGGCAGCGGATGTGTTTGCAGAATGAAACCCAGAATTCAGATTGTCCTCTGTTGATGGATGCCTTGTTTCAAGCACTGCTGGGAAGCTCCCTACCTCGCATACCAAAAGAAAGGATAAGAAACCTGGTTTTCCTGTCTCCTTTGATGTAGTCACCAATGCTGTTAAAGTCTCGTTTTTCAACAGTCACTTCTACTGAATGTTCTGTATCATTTGTCCTCACCAAATTCTTTAAAGCGTTCAATTCTCTTATCCTTTCTATATGTTTCTGCCATTTGACCTTCTCACAATGCACAAAGTGATGCCTGAGCTCATGCCTCTTGATAGTAGCGTAAATGGCATCATCCCGTTCTTGTTTTGTCTCCAAGTTCATTTAAACCTCTCTGTTAAAGGTCCTCAGCACTCCATGCCTTCGCCCCTAGCGATGGAAAAGCAGCAGAGTCTTGGAGGCACTCTGGGTCTGTGTCCAGAACCTCTGCACCCTTTGGCCTCTGCACCTCTGTGTATGTGCTCCCGGTTCTGAGGGTGGCAGCTGTCCGGGCTCATCAGTTGTCCAGTAGGAGGAAAGGCTGATCTAGTGACCACAGATGTCTACCACTGAGGACGTGAGGGCAACCCAGACAGGGGTCCCTGCGCTCGTACAGCAGAGGCTGGGACCAGTGTCCTTCAGAGGTACACCCCTGGGACCACTACCTCCAATCGTGCCCCCCCCATATCCCAGTAATAATGCAGTAAACCACGACCCTTTCAATAGATAAGAGCAGTCCTCAGCCCCAGTTAGCTCCCAGTGGGGCCCACTAGCGGGGGCCGTGTCTTCAACAGGTGAATTCTACTCTGTTCAGCAGCCACTGCTTCCTTGGTGTGCTTTCCCTGTGCTCATTCTGGGCACATCTGAACGCTTTCACACCTTTTAGCTCTGCCCTTTGGTCCCCGTTCTTACCATTAGTCCGGCTAAAAGCAGCCAGCAACACCTGTGTAACAGCTTCAACAGTGGCCTCTCTGACCCCCGACAGGTGATACCATCCACAGGCAAGGACAGAATACAGGGAAGTCCTTCTCCAGAAGGTAATGCGGACGGCCTCGAGTCTGGCTTCCGCTTGAGTCTGCTCCCGTCTGTAAGAAGCCTCCTGAACAAAGGCTTTACTTTACTTGCCCATTTTATTTGACAGAGTGGACATCTGAACCTCTGGATTACCCATTAAACTGCTTATGGCATCCGGTGGGTTTTTAGGCTGTGTCTCCAGACTCTTCTGAATGCCTCCTGCAAGCCACTTCCAAAGGCTTCTGAGTCAGATGACCCACTTCTCCAGTCACAAATGTGTCCTTGCCAGTTTCCCGTTGCAGTGACAGGATACCTGAGAAAGGAGGGGAAGGAAAGAGGACTTGGCTAACAGTCGGAGAGGTTTCGGCAAGTCTGTTTCTCGACTGTGCTAAGGCAGAGTATCTTAGCAGAAGGGCATGGCAGCAGCACACAGTTGCTCACCTCCCAATAAGCAGGACACAGAGTGACAGAGGCTGAGACAAGATGCACCTTTTAAAGACCCATTCCTTTGCCCTTGCTCTGGTAAATAGGTTCCCATCCACACTCTGGCAAGAAGCTCTGACTAAACTCAGTGGGCCACACACAAAAAGAAGGCATGGAAGGAGGAGGGAGACTTGAAAAGGGTTCCTACCCGAAGAGGGAGGGTTGGGTGAAAATGACGAGAATTCATTATCTAAATGTAGGGAACTATCTAAACAAACTTGAGGGCTGTTGAGGTGACTCGGTGGGTAAAGGAGCTTGTCCCCAAGCGTGATGACCTGAGTTTGATCCCTGGGAACCACATGGTGAGGAACAACTCTTGCAGGTCACACATGCCCCCCACCTCGTGTGCCATGGCACATGCGCACATGATCAGTGAATGTAATTTAATAGATTTTATGGACACATACTCTACTGACCTAATTTAAAAGATTTTATAGACATGTACTCTACTGACCTACACCCTCCAACCAGGCCCCATCTTAAGGTTACCACCTCCCAGTCTATTGAGTACTGCTTGCACTGGGGCCCAAGCCTTTAACATATGACCCTTTGCTGGAGGAACACTTCAGAGCCAGACTGTAACATACATTCTTTAGGTCAATAGTCCCACATCTTTGTAGACATTGTTCTTTAAGTTAATAGTCCCACATCTTTGTAGATCTCTAGCAGTTTGAATACAGGTTAGTAAGTTGCACTTGTTCAGCGTCCTGGAGCATCATTCCGGTCGCCATTGTCAGCTCAGAGGCTGTTAAGTTAGGGTTGTTTTGCCATACTGTTTATGAACCCCAATATCGTGAGCGAGGAATAACCTTCCTAGGAAATGAACATATTTCCTGCTCTCTTTCTCTGTCTCATTCAATCCACTCCCTGTCTCTAGCCACAGAATTTCTAGGATCTAAACTCTCTACAGTGGGCATACTTCAGTTGGATGATTATTTTCAGTGGCCATTAAATACAAAACAAAGCCTCTGCCTGTCCCACTAGCCTCAGCACAGTGACAGTGCTCAACACGGCCCTCTGCTGACCCTGAAGTGTCCTGGCCTCTCGCTGCAGGCCTTTGTGTTTGGGTGATTGTCACACCCAACTTGTGTTTTCTGAATTAGCCCATGTGGCGAAGACACATTCTGTTAGTTACCTGCAAGCTCTGTGGCCACAGTGGAGCGACCAGTGCTGCAGCTCACTGAGAGCCCTAAAAGGCATCAGTGGATCCCAGCAAGATTACTGAGTAGAGGGTGCATTGGGTTCTCTTGCTCTCTCACTTGTGTCTTATCAGAGGAGAGAGTAGAATGTACAGGTGGGAGCAGAGCTGACACTGTGCTGACTCCTGGAGGTGCGCACGCGCGCACACACACACACACACACACACACACACACACACACACACACGTAATAGTAACAATAATAATTGATCTGTAGTGGTTGCCCTCATGTGCAACATTAATTCTTGTACGAGGGCCCATTTCAAGTCCCCAGTGTTTATGAATGTGAGGTTCGGTCTAGTTCACCTACTCAATTCCTGTAAGCATGTGGGCTGAGCCCAGCACCCCTCCGGCCGGCGCTGAGGATAATGGCACAGGCAGAGGTGGCCCTCTATCCCGTGTTAGGAACTGAAACCTTCAAATAGTAGGCCCTCCTGGGCAGACGCAGTGACCTCCCAGGCAGCCCTGGCAGACAATAAGCATCAGTGAGTACTGCCAGCTTGCACAGTGCCCCCTGTCAGAAAAGCACATTCCAGCAAGGCCAGTCCCAGCTTAAGGTTTCCACTCAGAAAGCCAGGCAGGATGGAGCTGCAGGAGGCAGCTTGAGCCCCGCCTATTCATCTGCAAGCTGTTTTTTCAGAGTGCCTGCCAGACCCTGAGAACAGTGTTAGTGTTGCCCTTTGCTAGATTGGAGGGATGTTGGTCCTCAGTCACGTGGTTACAGAGCCCATCCAGCCTCAGAGCCTAGTGCCATCAAGCATAGTTTATCACTGAGCTACACTCAGCCTCCAGAACATTTTTTCTATAGGACTTAAATAAGGGAAAACCCCAAATTTCCAGTGTGAACTTGGTTGACTCCATTTTGAGGGATCATCTTCTGAAACAGTATCTCACAAAGATGGAGTCAGGATTGCTATCCCCTCCACCACCAGGACTGAGACATGAGGCAGGTAGGGGAGGATGCTGCCCTGGATGGACACCCAGGTAAACGATTTTCGTTTGTGTGGTTAATCAAGAGTCAGCTTTGTACCCACCCTCACTCGGCATCTGTGAGAAGGTCAAACCCCCATGGTTCTTCATGTTCAGCTTGCTTCTCGGAAATGCCCATCTGCAGCATGTGGGGCGTGGCGGGCGGCATGAAGCTGTGCTTGGCCAGTCGAGAGAGGGTGAACATGGAAAACCATCCTTTCAACCTACATGTGTTTAATTTTGGTAGACTGCAGTATTTCTTCCTTATTTTTCACTTCTCTCTCTCTCCTTTTTTTCCTGTAACTGTGCTGGTTTTGTTTTGGTCTTTTGTTCATGCCCTTCTCTGCATCTTATTTTTCTTTCTGTTGTGGTTCATTCCATTTTTTTTTTAAATCTTATCTTTTGGTTCTCCTTTCTCCCCATAATTTTGGGTAAAACCCATCGCATGTGTCCGTCTTTTTTTCTTTCTTTCTTTCTTTCCCCCTTTTCTTTTCCTTTCTCCCAACTTTTTCCTTTTCACAGCATTGGAACACGGGAGGTAGTCACCCAGAAGAACTTGAGCGGCCTGGTGCCCATCCGAGACTTAAGGCTAGACCCCAGCCTCCTTTGTTCCATTCCTTTATTAGCTCTGAGCCCCAATTTACTGATTGTGTGGCTCTTTCTGAGCATAGCGTACCTGGTGACCAAATTGCGTTGCAAGTAAATATCATTATGAAAAATTAAATTAGTCACAGGACAGACAAAAGTGCCCGAATATGTCCAGCCACCGTGTACCAAACTGGACAGAAGGAATGTGTCCAAGCGAGGTCTGCCGAGAACTATCTCATGCCTTACAGTTTGATGTTTTGTTCTTCTGAACTGTAAATACCTGCTAAATTCTTTCATCGAGAGGACTCGTTCATTTTGATGGCGTAGCGTCTTCAGTGCTTGTAACATGTTTTTCTGGTGCCCTGTGACTGCATTCTTTAGCTGGCCTGGAATTACTTGTACCAAATATCTTACCTTCTGATGTGTAACTATTTATTCCATGTACATCTTGTGTGCCCTGTTCCAAGAGAAAGGGCTGCTGTCTGAAAAGAGTTTGTATATTTGATACTATTCCTTCAGTGTGTTGCTGACCTTCCTAGCCTTTTGAAGAAATCAACAAGAAAAAGATGCTTTATTCGTTTATCTAGATACCCCTGCTTGATAGGACTGGACTTCCCACTTTCCTTTCAAAGCGTAGTCCTGGGATTGCAATAGCAAGCAGATTGTAGAGTCACACTCCCCTGCTCCCAGCTGTCTCCACGTGGGGACGACACAGCTGTGGATCCAGGAGCACATGCCACCGAGTCTAGCACACAAAGATTACATGTTGCATGTGACTTCAGGGTTACTCGTAACACACATAGTAGCAAGAGTTATATACTTTTTTTTTAAATAACTTTTTTTTAATTTACAAATTGTATGTTTTATTCCAGATGAAGTCTAGATATCTTTTTTCTTTTACTAATACAATAAGGTTATATATAATGAACAAAAAAAAATCAGAGAAAATGATTTTTAAAAATGAGGCTTAAGTTTTAGCAGTTGTGTGAGAGAGAGAGCTGTGAGAAAGGGAGATGGCTGTGGTTTTGCCATGATCACTCTTAATTTTAACATGGCACTGCCCCTAAAATAGGATGACTACTCACCCGGACATTCATGTGGCAGAGAGTGATTGTCCTCCATAAAAGTAACCAAGTAGCCTAGGAAAGATTCCCCTTGCCTTGTGGCCTTGTTTAAGAAATAGTGAATGCCTTCCCCACCTCCCAGTTCATAGTAGGTTGTATTTCTGCTTTTGACCTCCAGTTCGATGAAGGAGATTTCTTTTCATGAGTCTTGTAGGAAACCTGGAGTGACTTAGAGAATCTGGAGTTTCGAGTATCTTGACATTCTCATGCCCACAAACCCATCCACCAGAGCTCTAGCCTCTCTAGTCTATGAGATTTCCTGACAGTACTTGGAGGACTGCCTCTGATCTGGCTTCATCTCGGAGAGTGACATGGAGGAGCTGCAGAGCAGTTAGTAGCGAATACCAGACGCCAGACCAAATCTGTCAGTTGGGCTGAGGAAGGTTGTCCTTACCACACCTGAGGAGTGCCCTTTTTTGCAGATCTGAGCACCACAGATTCCCCCGGGCAGGCTCGCCTCAGAGTTCCCACATAAACAGGTCTACTTGTCTCTCCTAGTAGAAACGTGGTGACAGCTCTGTGGCATCTCTCAGTTTAGTGTTTCAGCCACTGCCCATCTGACATTAGTCACCAGACAGACTTGTCCAGTCAGTGATTCTTGGAAAGGAATATTTGATAGATGCCCTTTCCCTTCAAAGCATGTGCTTCAAGCCCAACAGACCATTTTGTTTGCTTCATCTGAACAGGGGAGAGAGAGTCCATAGTCTCCTTCCATCCCCATCCCACGGCCCCCATTCCTTGCTCTCGGTTGGTACCCTCCAGGTAACATGGAGGTGACTCAGGAATGCATCATTTCCAGGGTTGTGCTGTGGCCATGCAAAGACCATAGACAGACGAGGGAAGTCTCTAGAAGTAACTGCAGAGACAGCACCCTCTGTCCCCTGTGGCCCAGGATTCCACAGCTCTTTGCAGGGACTCTTCTCAGGACTATTATACAGCAAAGGGAAGCAGTGCTGGTTAGAGAAATCTCCGCCCACACCTCAGGCAGGGAGAATTCCTGTCGGGGACACTATGGTCTGTTGTGGTGCCGAGCCCCCCTCCTGGCCTATACAGCCCTGGCTGTTGGATCAGAAGGGCAAACAATGAGATTCCTTGTCTGTCTCTTCCAGGGGTGAGTAGAAAGCCGTACACCACCCTGTGCCTCCAGGTACAAAAGGCTGGCTGGCTCTGGGAGTCCACCCCAGCAGGGGGGATTGGGGATTTGAATCAGCTTTTTTCCTCTAACATACTGGGGAGGTGGGGAGACCAACCTTCAGTCTGTTTATCCTTTATACTGGATTTTAATGTCATGAAGGTCTTTTGCTCATGAAACCAAGCCAAATATGTATTCAAAATCTTGTCTACATCAAGAAATGAGGAGAAACAGGATAAGGAGATGATTCAAGCTAGGCACTGTTGGTGTTGGCTGATGGCATCTGGGTTGCTTCTGAGTAATCCTGAGCTGTGGTACGGTGCCTGGTCAGAGCTGCATCCTCTGCAGCAGCAGCTTTTGAAGGAGAGAGCCATGCTGACGCCACTGCCTTCTCCTGTACTCACTCAGATGGAGATACTGAAACAGGGACGTGGTCCTTCTACAGAGTCACTCATGTCTACTGTGGCATGGCCTAGACATGGAGGCCTTCAGATGAACGCTAAAGTGGAAGCCCCTCCCCCCTCAAAAGAAGGAAAAGCAGAGGTCTTAGGATTGTCCTTTAGAGTTTCCATTCAAATTTCCAAAGTTGATGTCCTTGAAATGAAGTAATTCTTGAGATAATAAATCAGGAATTGTCCAATAACTAAATCTCTCTCGTTAAAATCTGCCTAAAGCCTTGCCATGTACTATTGCCTGCTAACAACACTGGAACAGTGTGGTCAGTGAAAGTGTGCTGCTTCAGGCCATCATGCAGGACTCTGCCACAGGGCACCCTTTACCACCTCTGCAGACCTTGTCCCAAACCTTCAAGCCAGTCCACGGACACCTGCAGATCATGCCAATAGTGTCAGCATGCAGACAGGGCATATCAGCCTGGCTAGAAACATGTAGAAGAAACAATTTGATTTAAAAGTCAAATTAAAGGCACAATTTGAATTGCAAGCTCACGTACAATGTATGCAGTCAGCTAAACCTAGTTTTAGTTCTTTTCACAGGTAAATACAGAGACTGTCAGTTTTTAAGTTATCATTTGGCATCTACTGGGTAGCTGGGCTTGAGGGCCTTCTGTATCAATGGAGAAGCCATATGTGAAGTAGTCTGTCAGGCCAGGAGCTTCCAAAGACATGGCAGGTTCACTGTGCACGGGAACTCATAGCTTCTGCTTTACATAGAGTTGTATTTGTATCTGATTACTGAGTGTTCAGCAGATGCTGTCGTTTGCTCTGGGTGGCCCAGGTTTTTAGCTCAGGTGACACATCCAGCCTATGGCTTGAGGCTCTGGAACAAGGACATGCAGAGTGGCTGTATCTGTCAACAGCAAGCAGGTGGATGCTTCTCTAAACTGCCTGGTCTTATCTCTTTTGAATAAGCACTACTGTCCCACCAAAACCTCCTTGACATGTTCTTAATCAGGGGACTGTCATTCTCATTTTGAAAGGCTTTGGCTGCTATTTTTTAATGTATGTCATGTGATCTTCATAAGATTTGAAATACTTTTTTAAAATCACTGTTTTCTTGGTAACTGCAAATTTTACATCTCAGAAGGGGGATTTTTTTACTGAACTTGACAACTACTTGATTTCATTGCTACTCTTTAAACATTATAAAAATAGCAAGTTTTACTGTGTTGTGGAAAGGAATTTATATTAAGAATCATTTTTGGCTATTAATTTTAAGCCACTCCAGAGCATTGCCCAGAGAACTCCCTTGAGGTTCACTCTGAGGCCTCCCTGGCTCTTCATCCTCTTGCTGGGTACCATTTGTTTTTGCCCCTGGGTTGCTATGACACCCCTCCATTGAGTACTGCTGGGATTCACGCTGGTAGTGAGTTCTCCAGGGAAGAGCACCTGTGGGCTCACGTTGGGCTCAGTGGCGCTTATACAAGAAGTAGTTGTACTGAAAGCAGCCCACTTGGAGAAGGTGCCTCGTGGCCACCAGGAGATCAGTGGAGCCTCCACAGCACATCCGCCTGGTAGCCATGAGCATGTGGACCTGCTCTGCAGACAGCGCCTGGGCCTATCTGGGCACTTTGCTCTTGAACAGTCGCCCCTAGGTGGAGACAGATACCAAAGCAGCCTCCTCGGCCAGATGGCTTTTGCTACCTGCTGAATTCTGCAAGAAAAATCGGCATCTGGGTTTTGATGTGGTCACAGATTTTGCTAACGTACAAAAGGTACAGTGTTTGAGAAGCTATGGTAAGAGTTAAATATCCCCGTTCGTTCAGTTTGCTGTCTAAAAATCTTTGAACCACAAGTTGATAGTACCCCAGATAACCAAAACTAAGATACACACAAAATCATGTATTTTTAAAATAATTGTGTCTGCTAAATACAACATCGCTCTGGAAGTGCCAGCCCACAGCGCATCCAGCATGTATCCATCTGTGTGCTTTTTACCTGCTTCGTTCAGAAACCCTCCATCTTATGTGTGTTTGTTATAAATGAGTCCAGCACCCATCTTATTAACCTTTGTTTAATGCTATGGGAATAATCAGTTCATTTCCTTTAAGTCTTTTCTTTTTCCTTTTTCACTGCTGTCATTTCTTGTGCTTGTTTTTTCCCCAGTGAGGGTTGTCGGAGAGAAAATACAATGAAGAATGTTGGAAGTCGCAAATATGCGTTTAACTCCCTGCAGCTGAAGGCCTTCCCCAAGCATTACAGGCCTCCAGAAGGGACTTACGGAAAAGTTGAGACATGAACACACGGTGTCCTCTAATTAGCTGTTATGTAACCAATGTGGGTACCCTCTAGTGTCACATATGATTCTTCAAGAAGACCCGAAGGATTCGTTTTTATTTTTGTGTTTTTAAAAAGACTTCACTAAAGAGTCTATGGAGCATGATTTTGTGTTGGAATCTGTAGGGGTCCTGTGTGGCTCAATAGCGTGGATAGTAATGGCTGCCCTTACCAATAGCTTTCAGCTGTAACTATACAGTTAATGTCCTAGTTCCTAGAAGAAGCCAGCTTGGTGTGTCTGAAACTCCAGGAGACTTTTTCAAATGCCCACTTAGGCACTGCTCACCCAACTTATTTTTCTATTCAGTAACTCACACGTGAGCATTGACTTCAAGTCTACTTTCAAAAAGTCTGAATGTAAAACAGGAAGTACTCACCCCATTAAACTCCAGGTCCCAGGCAGAGTAGGAGGTGTTAGCTCAGCTTGGGGAAAAGAAGTCAGCACCTTTGTGTTGTGAGAGAAGCCGGTTCTAGTGGCCCCCAAAGGCCACTGCTCTCTGTGAAACCCAAAGTCGAAGGGAAGCTTGATCAGTCACACCAGGGGCTCATGCACCCGGGGCCACACCGCTTCCTGCCCCTTCAAGTCCTAGAAGAGTGTCTGCTTGAGATCTAAAACCAACCATGAGGTCCCTGGACTCAGCCTCCTCATAAGCTCCATGTTTAGGTCCACACCCACAGGGCATATCTCCCTTGTTGGCAATCGAGACCTTCACTATGGCTTGTCAGGTGTCTGGGAGACAACTCTTTAGTTGGTGATTTAGGGGCATAGAGACAGTAGACGCAAATATTTTCAGAATAAATGTTCTTCTGGGATGTTTCTAATCATCTTCTAGAAGGCCACAAATCATGTGTGAATGTCTAAAGAAACCATTTTAGTTTTTGGTTTATAGTAATTGTTACTATTCTTCTGTTATATGACTATTGAGAAACAGTTCAAACTATCCCCTACATTGAGAGCCCGAGAGGGGTTTGTGAGACAGGAAAGTTAGGGATTTCATAGACAATTTAGTCTGTCATCTTTTACAAGGTGATGATGAGTCTTATCTGCACATAGCAGATTTTTTTCCTTAGAATTTATATGTTTTATAAATTCTGTTAATCATAGTTCTGTTTACATGTTATTTAAAAGGCTGTAAAAGAAGTGTATATGGAGTATAACCCATGATGCTGATACCAATTGTGAGCACCATGGGAATTCTTAGAGAGGTCTAGCTAGTTTTCTTTTGGCTCCTTTAGAAACATGTAACAGACTTGAACCTGGGACATGGAGGCATAGATAGCCCAGTCCTTGGACAAGAGTGAGGGAGGGTGCAGGCACCCCTTTCTACCGGTGCGTAGCCTGGCCTGCTGCTTCGGGGAAGAGGTCCTCTGCTGAGGGGCAGCTCACTGCCCACTTCAGAGTGCACTGTGGAAGTGAGGGACAGGGAGCGCCCAGCATCCAACCCCCCCACAGGGGGCCGTTCTGCTGGTATCCGATTCTCCCACAGCCCCAGAGGCTGCTGGGGCTCAGTGGGGCTGGCTAAGCCCTTTCCCTCTTCTGTGGTCCATTTACTCTTACGTTTCTAGTTTCTTTTTTTTTTTTTTTTTTTTTTTTTCTCATTTTGACATCACTGCCTTTTTAAATATTGCTTTGGACTTTGAAATGAAATGTTCCCGTGTTCTCCAGCTCTCCTTCCTGTCTGAAGGGCATTACCAATCCACACTTAGAAAGGGAATAGAGCAAGAGCTGACTCACCTGTCGGCCGCTCTGCATGTGAATTACTTTCTCAGTCTTTGTTTTATACCATGAATCACTGTAAACCTCTCAGACTTGGTTAATCACGGAAGGGACTGTGGCTTCAGTGTTTTCTCTGAAGGCATTGTGACTGGCTCCCAGCGCAGAACACGTTCCCGGCTTGCCAGGAAGGCACACCTGGCACTGCATGGGCGCAGGCAGCTCCCTCCGCCCCAGGAGGCTGAGCTGTTCACTGTAGGTGGGACACGGTTTTCCTGGTGGCCATAGAGAGGACGTGCCGTCCACCGTCTGCCCCCACTTCAGAAGGAATGTGCGGTGTCTGGACAGCTGGGAGTGCCGTGTGGATCCCGTCGGCTCCTGCAGCAGAGCTGCCTGTACTCTCCTTTAAAGATGTAAAAATAGTGTATAATACTGTTTTATCCCCCCCCCCACACACACACACACTTGTACTTGCCAAGCTTAGTGCATTTAAATACTTGTATTTATTTGTTTGGGACAGTATTAATATATATGAACATATAGTTACTGTTTTATATATTCTTAGCTCACTTAAAGCCATGTATGCTGTAAATGTGCTTGTCTTTAGAATGGGAAATAATAAAAACTGACAAGAACATTACACTTGGTCTCCCTTGATTCATTCTCCTGTACTGGAAGGAAGTGGGTAGCCAGCACCAGACTGGTACATTGTACCACCGGGCTTAGGTGCCAGGATTCATAGGCTTGTAAATGGGGGGAGACTAAGGTCTTTTTAACCACGTTTTTAGTTCATTCAAACTAAGGTGTGGTTAAGAACAGAGACCAATCCAGGTTCTGCCTCTCACTGGTCAGTGACTTGGGACAGGCTGTTTTTGTGTATGCCAACTGTTTTCAACAGTGGTAGGTTCCTCAGAAGGTGGCTGTGAGGACCTTGGTCCCATGTGTTCCTAAATGTGTGTTGTGTCCTTTCCCTGAACAACCTCCCCATCCGTGGGGTGACTTGCTGAGAAGCTGTACAAAGCTGCTGCCGCGTCATCAGCACCATGCGCTGAGTCTCTGCATCTCCTTCAAGGAACATGTACCTGGTCATTTCCCTTGGAGATTCCTGGCAATGGAAAAGAGTTAAAAACAAGGTAAGTATGCTTGGCTGTCTGAAAGTCTACCATTGCTGTAGCCAGGGCTTTCCCTCTCTCTTCTCACAGACTCGGGAATGGAGTCTGGCTTCAGTTTCCATTTCGTGGAGTCTCTGCACATATCAAAAGTCTGCTCTGCTGATACATGGGATTTGGTGACGCCTTTAATAATCTTTAGTAAACATTCTAGTAACTCCTCTATCATAGGTTGAGGTTTATGAAGCTGTTGGTTAGCTGGGTTTGGCTTCCTCTCTGTTAGGGCTACAGAAGTCTTAAATGTCTTGCTCCGTTTGATGTTTGTTCTGAGATCAAGGTTTGGCTTTCCCATGGATGACCATGTCCTGGTGTCTGACGTGGTCGGTGTGCCTGTGTTGGAAGGCTGGACTCTGGTGCGCAGTAGCTCCTTCTCGGCTTACAGTGTGCTGTTTCACAGTGGGTGCCTTCTGCCTCGGCTCTCCTGGGAGTGGGCGTGGAGGCCAGGGCTCGCTCTGTCGTCTTCCTCTGTCAATCCTCACTTTAGTTACTGAAGCATGGTCTTGCTGAATCCAGAGCTTGCCAGTTCCAGTCAGTCTCAGCCTGTCGCACCGTCATTCAGCTGCCTCTTGTGCTGGGATTTCAGGTGGCCGAAGTCCACTCCTCACACGTACACACAGGTGCCTTACCCACTAAGCTGTCCACCGCCCTTTACTTCATTTTGACATCTAGGCCAGCTCCTCTGGAGTTACTCTGGGATTCAGGCGCATGCTGTATCAAGAGTTGACTTGGCTCTGAGTGACCCCCTTCTCTCAACCGACCCTAATTTTGCTTCTTTAATCACATGATGCTGGATGGCTCAGTTAGTACAGTTCTTGTCATGAGAGCGCATTTTTCCTGGAGACCTACAGTCGAATTCAAGTCTCGTGAGGTATACAGTGTGTCTCATGAGGAGATGACTGCTCCTAAAGAACTTCCTGAGTTTATTAACTCATAAAGCAAAGTCTGGGCAAATATGTACAGGGATGGAATTTAAGGGCACGAAATAAAGGCAGAAAGAACAAAGCCAAGTCAGATTGAATTGATAAATATGGATCCATTAAACAGACATTCTGGGTTTGATGTTTTAACACAGGGAGTGAAAAAAAAAAGATACTGCTTATCTGATTGGTTAGCCAAAATATGGATCAAAATGATACTGCTTATCTGATTGGTTAGCCAAAATATGGATCAAATGTAGCCTACTTACTGTGGGGGCTGGCAGTACCTGCTACCCTTGGTGTACTGTTGGTGGATGGAGTCCAAGGCTCAGAGAGTTAGAGTCCTGAAGTGAATCACTGTTTGGAAGAAAGGTAATCCAGGATAAAAGTGGAGTCATTCCTCAGACTAGCTTGAAGAATGGCTGTACACAAATTAGTCAGCAGGCTGGGTGTGAGGCACTTAAGCAGAACAGTACGATCTAGCTAGATGTCCAGAGGGATCTATACTCTCAGCAAGTCTGGGATGGATCTAGAAATGGAGGAGTCATTAGCACGTTAACCTTTATTCCACAGGATTGTCACATTTCTTTCTCGGGAGCGTCCTCAGGGAGGCCGTTACTATTTCTACACATAATACAGATTAGATCCCTCAGGCAGAGGGGAAGGGTACTGCTCTAAGAGAGGGGAAGAGACTTCCTCTGTAAAACCCACTGCAGTTGGAATTCAGCATCCCCAGCCCCATCAGCTCCTCTCTACCAAGTTACAGGGTCCCATTCTCTGCCCACCTGCACCCTCACTTTAAATGATAGCCTTTGAGGAGGAAAGTGTGTGTCGTCAGTCAGTGCATGATGAGGACTGGACTTTGGCAGGACCACAGAAAGAAGGGTGAGAATTGATCCCTGATGGAAAAATCCATTAATAAGTGTGTGTGTGTGTGTGTCCATAAAAGGATGTATTGGCTTATACAACTGGAAGCTTGTGGCTGCCTGCATGCTGGAGAAGCTGATAACCTGGTAGCAAAAGAGCATCGGGAAGCCTCAGAACAAGAGAACCAGTGATACAGTGTGAGGCTGAAGACCTGGACGCTCCCTGGCCCGCTGGTCTGAGTCCGTGCTGAAAGGCTGCAGTACCCAAATCTGACCTCTTCGGGCAACGGCAGCAGCGGTGGAGACTTGCTCAGAGCCCGCAGCACCGCCCGGCTTTCCCTTTCTCTGCTTCCATCCCACCTGGGGCCCCAGCCTACTGCATGGTGCTGCCCACATTCCTGACCTGTCTTTGCAGTTCCTCTCCTGTGTCAATCATGTCCAAAAGTGTCCTTCCAACACATTCAGAAGTGGTGCTTTACTAATATTACCCTGGGGACCTCTCAATCAGGTTAACTTGGCAACTAAGAGCAACTGTCGGAACATCCCATCAAGTCACTGAGGTCTTTCTTCCATCCGTCCCTTGACTTTCCATCACACGCACCCTGGTCATTGTGACCTGTAAAACTACTCACACTTTCCTTTCCCTTCAAAGTCCTGTATGGTGACTTCACTTCAGAAAGAAAGTCCTCTAAATATTTTCACCATTTAATTTTTTAATAGTTGATAATTCGTTAGTTTTATAATTTATTAAATTTGTGAATATATTTTATTCATTTTTATTTATAAAAGGCTTATTTCAGGCTGGAGAGATGGCTCAGTGGTTAAGAGGATCCAGGTTCAATTCCCAGCACCCACATGGCAGCTCACAACTGTTTGTATCTCCAGTTCCATGGAATCTGCATTGGTGAAATTATTAAAGCCACTCCACGTAGTTAAAAGGGAGGTTTATTTTGTGAAGTAACTTACAAGTGAATGGATAGTTTACAGGGTCTGGGAAAGGTGTGCGCAGTCCGGCGGTGTTCTCTGGAGAACTCTGCTCGGTCTACCTCCAGCGTCCAGGGTCCAGGAGCCAAGAGAGCAGGCACATCCGGATCTCAGGTCTTCAGGGTCCTCCCTTGGCCCCGCCTTGTAGGTGTGACAGTTACCGAAGCCTCAATGGAAGAGAATTAGAATCTTTAAGACAATGGTCCCTTTTATTGGTTTCCTTCTGTCCCACACCAGAGGGCTCTTCTGATATGGGAACTGAAGAATCTCTCAACCTTCTCTTTTAGCAATATGTTTGGGTTTAGAGAAGGAGTGAGCCAATTCCATCTCCAAAGCCAGCTTGGTTTATAATTGAATTGGAACCACAACTTTTCTAGATTGAAAGAGATATAGATGTTAGGCAGTGAGAGTTTACCCTGTGTAGATTGGTACCAATAGATTCTTTCTTTCTGCTGTAGACATCTGGATATCCAAAGCCTTATGATTTCTGGAAGATGGGTATTTCCAGTATCCTGGAAAGACAAAAACAGAACCCTACCTCTCTTGCAAGGGACTCCAGATTTCTCATGGAATCATGGAACTTTTTATGTTCTTTTGAAACACATGATTCCATAGACCTTATCTTATCAGTTAATGATAATCTTTCTTCCATATCTAGTGTCTGAGTAGCCACAACTTCACTCTGGAGAGTTAGTATTCTATCCATTAAATATTCATATTTGTTATCAATAAAATCAATTTTGGGTACAAGCCTGTTTTGTAAATCCTGGTTAGCAGATTCCAGAGAGAGAATCTTTTTCTGTAAGCCTTCATTG